ACTCCTACCAACCCACACACTACACATACACCCACCCACCATATGCCATAGATAACACTATGGGTAGTATGGTAGTATGGACACTACTAGTTATTACAACAGATGGTGTGTGGATGATAGTTATCACAAAACACTAAGCATTAAAACTATACAATAAGTGATTGACTGCATGACTTCATAATAAATAGGATTGGATGATTATATTGTTGTCATATAATGATGTACATACAACCACAAATGAGCTATTAAAAGTACACAATTTTAAAATTATTTTATCAAAATGCTTGTCCATATGCAGTGTTTCGTGAAACGTCAATGTGTTTTTCTTCTGATTGTTTATTATCTACTACTGGTAAATCATATACAGGGCCACACAGATCTGTTTCCTTAGAGTTGTTAGTCCTTCCCTTTTTTCTCATTATTAAACAAATGATACTAGTAATTATTGCAGTAATGAGTCCAGTTAATAGACCAGTGATAGGTACAGCAATAGCAACTGAGTGTATGCAATAGATTGGATACTCATTGTTATCATTAACTAACCACTAATAGTTCCTACATCTGTTGATTCTGATATCATTGTAGCAATACATGTACATAAACAATAACCTATTAAAAGAATAATAATTTTACTTCATGCATTATGACTTATTGTCACCTATTTCATTACTTGTTGTAACTGATTTTGTTGCTGTTAATTCTGTTACTGATCTTGTACCTGTAACAGTACTGATACTTGAAGCCTGTATACTGACTATTAAAAATGAAGTGTTGTTACAAGATTTTTAGTGTGATAAATTATTTGTGCGTATAATTTTCATAGTGACTTTAGCTTCTGGAAAACCTATAGTCCATAGCCTTTGGCTGAAAATCAAAGTTGTTGACTCAATATTTTTGACTCATCATCATTCAAATAAACCCAATTCCTTTTAACAAGAGTATCTACATGCTTTTAAAAATGCTCATAGCTCAAGTAATACATAAGCATAGTGCTATGCATGTTTAATGTTTAATAAAATATGATAACACTAACCTGGGAATACTGATGAACTACTACTCATCATACTAGATACACTGACTAATGAAGTGAACTGTACACATCAGTTGTAATGATAATTAACTGACCATTAACAGTGACTGATGGTCCATATCCAATAGCATTACCAGGTATGATAGTAACAGTGTAGTTTGTATCAGTGAGTAATTCACCAATAGTGACATTAGTATAATCAAGAGTGAATGTATAAGTTGTATTGTAGCTAATTGGTGCATTGAATACATTAAAAGTGTAATACTGAGTAGGAGGACGTTGTACTGAGTTCTAGAATTTGAAAATGATTTAGTACTTATAAAATATTTGTTAACATACCTCAGTGTTATCATTCCACCATATTGTAACACTATCACTTGATATCTGATATCAACTAATATTAACAACTTGAGCTGGTACTATAAGAAATACAATAAGTGTGTGTGTGTGTGTGTGTGTGTGTGTGTGTGTGTGTGTGTGTGTGTGTGTGTGTGTGTGTGTGTGTGTGTGTGTGTGTGTGTGTGTGTGTGTGTGTGTGTGTATTACTTACCATTCCATATATACTGTATTAATGATGAAGGAGGTCCTTCTCTTCCAATAGTATCAATAGGAATAATAATAAATGAATAATTAGTACCAATAATAAGAGAAGTAAGTGTTATATTGTTTCCAATAGAGCTGTATTGAGAAGATACATTGCTGTCATTAATCATAACAGTATAGTTCACTATACATTGTATGTTCTGTTGATACAACCAAGTAATAAGTATTGAACTATCCTCAATTGGATTTATATTAATATCAGTCACAGCTACTGGTGAATCTATTATTTATTGGTATATATGAATTAATAATAAATAAAAATCTTACCTGTTATGTTAATAGTAATTGTAACAAATTGAGGATTAATAATTGAATTTTCTCCTGCACACGAAATCTCAGATCCATTTAATGATACTGATATTGATTCATAGATACCAGTAGTTGTTACTGTATTACCATCCTTATTAGTAACATTAAGCATAAGTCCTTCAATAGTTGTTGGTCCTAATATTTCTTCTGCTTGGTTGTCATGTCCAGGTATTTTCCAAAATGCAGCTCCAGTGGTAGTTGTACAAGTGAGTACTAGTCTATCACCATGACACAGTGGGGTATAAGATGGAGAGGTTTGAACTAGCTCTGTTCCAGATGATATCAAAATAAGATCAACCAACACAAGACACCAGAGAACACAAGGGGTAGCCATTGTGCCAGTAGCAATAATAAGAAAGGTATAGCTGGTCTCCTTATCAACAGAATATTGCCTGCAAATCAGTCTACAACATTTTGCTGTGTTGTTCTCTTTCCTATAACACTCCTACCAACCCACACACTACACATACACCCACCCACCATATGCCATAGATAACACTATGGGTAGTATGGTAGTATGGACACTACTAGTTATTACAACAGATGGTGTGTGGATGATAGTTATCACAAAACACTAAGCATTAAAACTATACAATAAGTGATTGACTGCATGACTTCATAATAAATAGGATTGGATGATTATATTGTTGTCATATAATG